GTTTTAGTCGGTCAATCGAGCACTCTATAAGACACAGCGCCCTGGGGAAAAATCCCCAAGACTATCACAAGGCTGAACCAAGACTCTCTTAGACTGCATCAACACTCGCCCGAAGGCTCTCCAGGACTGCTCTAGACTGCGTCTGTCGTGGAGTATTCGCCAAGACCAACTCAAACTCTCTTTATTCATTTTCAAAACTCTAACCAATTACAAAGCTGTAAAAAGACTCTAGGGCGCAACCTTCAATCATAAAGCCAATCACACTAAGTACTGAATACGTCATATCTTTTGATTAATCGTTCACTACATTAATAACTATGAATATAAACTGTCAGAATTAATAGTCTAAATAGCGGCGGTTATCTGGTAATTAGTTCCAAATCACTGAGCCAAGTTCCGTCCAAAACTTCAAATAGGCCTAAACGATGACAGACATAACACAGCAATTCAGCTAATAATCAACTAATTAAGTCGGTTAACAGATACGCAAAAACAAATTCATGACACATCCCTTCACCCAAACTGAGATTGTGCCTCCTGGCATAATACGTTCACAAATCAAAGATACCGTCCTCTACTCATCGTCATACGGGTTAAATACAATACTAATAAAAGGAATAAATCAAAAAGAGTAAAACACAGTAATTAAGTACAATGATTATAATGTCTAGATACAATGGTTATAAAGTCACAAATATCAATGGTTATAAATCAAAAACAAGGGAAAGGCTACCAAACGACTCACTTTTCTCAAACAGTTCGCTGAAGTAACCCGTCGCTGCACTGTCACCGTTACTAAGGTTACAATCTCTATATCAAAAGGTCAAAAAAAACTAAGGCGTGGCGGTGTAACCAAGCGATCGGCCAATCGCGGCCGTCGACAGCACGATCACGTGATTACCAGGGATGCGTCTCTCGGTTAAAGCATTGCAAAGCGGTAACTAATAAACAATGAATAAAAAGCTATTAATCAAACTCCTGTCATATACGCTTATAAACTTCAACTGAACTCAAAAGTCGTTAATCTAAACACAAGTCATACGGCGTGGAAACAGAATGCAAAGACAAAACTATCATAACACATTACTTCTCTGGCAATAAAGACGGGAAAAAGACTAAAACGATATACACTACTGAGTTACATATAATCCTGTCAATCATGAACAAAAGCTTGCGTTATCAAACAATACGCAAATAAGCGCTCCAAACTCTCACTTCAAAAAGACATTAAAAACGTTACAAAGGTGCTATCAACTCAAAAAGCGTCAGAAGTATTCCGGAAACAACATATAAACAAAAACAACTCTTAAACGTCGGTATCTCTGTACTCGACAAATCTGAAAACTCTTAAAAAACTCATTGGGGCATTACTTTCCCCATCATAATCCTTTACTCATAAACTCATTAAAACTCCATAAAACTTCACAAAACTCAAAACACTGTGTTGCAAATACTTGTCCACTGATGCGCGCTTAAATCATTATAAAGGACCTCGCACGTCACTAAATATCAGTTCAAAACAAAGATCTGGGCGCTTACACACATACAATTCAATACCACAAAAAAAAACGGTAAGAAAAACGATAGGAAAAGCAAGCAATACATTACATTACTTACTGAACAATAGGGTTAGGGTTGTGGAAAAGAGTTCAACGTCTTAAGTTATACAGTGTCAGTCACAGTGTCCAGCGAGCAGTTCTCTAAGCAATACACAGATAGCTAAAGTTCTAATCAAAGTCTATAAGCATCTCTTCTCTTGTCGCGTTAGTCCGGGTCGTTCTTTTTCTTCATCTTGTCTTTAATGTCGCTCAATTCTTAATTATACAGTCCTATACGATACTGGTCCTTCCAAAGGGGCTTCGAAGTCTTCATCTCTTCAGCGTCGTTCATCGGTGCCATACTGTTAACGGTGTTAGTCGTCAAGCGCGGTTTCGTCTCTGCCATCGAGCCAGTTAGTTCGGTTCGCAAGAAAGACACACCTTCGTCATTTCACTTTTCTTCACAGGATGTCAATGTGCGTAAGACGCAATGCCCGGATTCTCCACCACGTATCAGGGGTAAATTCTTCTCTCTGGGGTTCTCCACACTTGTCAGGGGGGAATCTCGTCTCGTCTCTCTATCGCGTCCCCTTGAGGTGCGGGATCGGGAAAGTCAGTTAAGCTTTACAATCAAATAAGACACACACAACGAAATACGTTTCAGCTCTCGTCTTAGTCGGTCAATCGAGCACTCTATAAGACACAGTGCCCTGGGGAAAAATCCCCAAGACTATCACAAGGCTGAACCAAGACTCTCTTAGACTGCGTCAACACTCGCCCCAAGGCTCTCCAGGACTGCTCTAGACTGCGTCTGTCGTGGAGTATTCGCCAAGACCAACTCAAACTCTCTTTATTCATTTTCAAAACTCTAACCAATTACAAAGCAGTAAAAAGACTCTAGGGCGCAACCTTCAATCATAAAGCCAATCACACTAAGTACTGAATACGTCATATCTTTTGATTAATCGTTCACTACATTAATAACTATGAATATAAACTGTCAGAATTAATAGTCTAAATAGCGGCGGTTATCAGGTAATTAGTTCCAAATCACTGAGCCAAGTTCCGTCCAAAACTTCAAATAGGCCTAAACGATGACAGACATAACACAGCAATTCAGCTAATAATCAACTAATTAAGTCGGTTAACAGATACGCAAAAACAAATTCATGACAGTGATATACAATATAGGAGTAGAAACAAACATTTCGACTGAGAGGTCAAATGCGAGTAATGATTTGTACAAACATTACAAGTAATGATGTGTGAAGTGGGAATGCTGCCACACGCCACATTACAGTTAGACCAATGCAGCAAGCCATTATGGTAGGACACCATTACTGCTATCGCTGCTAGTGGGTCATTCACGAGTACTGCTGCTAAACTGTTGCGACGTCCCACCTACAGTAACAAAGGTTCTGCTTATGACTCTCTAACATAACTCAGACAGACTAAACCAGTGCGATTCAGGGTATTACAGAAACTGATCATTTGAATCTCTCTATGCCCCAGCTCTTTTATGCAGTCAATACAGGATAGAAGTAGAACAATCACATGAAAAGATTGACTCGTCCAATTTCAAATTATAAAATGTTCTACAATGTTTATAAAATGTTTATAGTTTTATTCAGCGTGCATCATACAAATTTCAATTTCAATTCAAAACATGATAATGCTGACGTTTTTGTGTTAATCGGACATACCCATATATCTCAGTTGATGAAACATTCCAATTGCCGGAATTTAGAGTAGGCGTAGTAGTCTGCTTGTTCGCTAATTGTCGTTGGAGCTTGTAGCAAAACAACGTTTTTTTTAGTTGCTCGTATGTATGTGTAGGGTTACTTCACTATTGTCACGTAAAAAAAATGCTAAAAAATCATATAAAACGGCAAAGTTTGCGCCATTTAACATTGTCAGCTATGGGGCAAAGTTCACGACATATTAGGATACATAGTTCGGTGACATATAGTGAATACAGCGTATGTTGTTTCAAGGTGGGATGGATGTTACAACTCTGAGCTTCATGAATTATCAGCAGATTGTGGGAAATAATATTAATTTTTCATGAAATATGCTTTCTTATAATAATTGTTCAAAATGTCTATATCTTGACATTTTGTTACATCAAATTTCTCTGAAACCCCAATATGTAACGTGTAAGAACACCCAGGAGGCTATGGCATATATCTACATTATTATATATCGACAACAATTTATGATAACATTTTCACTCTATTTAATAGGTCGAAATACCCACGAACGATCTTAACGAACTAGATTTAGCAGATAATATATATATATAATCTATATCGAATTTTAGTTTGTTTTGCCCGATCTGGGTCGCCAACAAAAATGTCGTATGATTTACCGCATTACGTCACATGTTTAGTTGAACAATAACACATGTTTTTGAAGGCAATATCTCGATTTGTTGCGTGCCCAACGAATGATGGTCATGACCATAATATTGATGATGCCATCGACATCCACCACACACAACTACATCTAACATACACCTCTCACAACCACTTTCCCATAAAATTACACCACTAATATTTGAAGTACGCAATATTATATTTCATGTGACATGTATAGCCTAGATTACATTACATTATAAAAAAATCAAATATAGGGCATACATTGGCATACCTCGGCTAGTCCAACTAAATATTTAAGTTTGATTGATTGCTTCTGGTTTTGATTATACAGATAAGGTGATTGTAAAACACGACCTGTAATCTGCATTCTCCACACTTAACCTTTGATACTATTGTTATAATGTACTTTAAGTTTGCTCGTAAAAATAATATCTTATTATGAAGCACTGCCCACCGCTTTGACTTGACTATGATATAATGCAGTACGCAGCAGGCTTGTTATGCCATACAATTGGTGTACATATCCTACATTTTACAATACATTTCTAATGCCTCAGTAATACTTGAGTAAATTTAGACTTTTATAAATGATCCAGCACATGAACACGTTGTGACGCCGATTGTTCTTTAATAACAATCAATCACCCGTCTGTCAAGACATTTTTACGAGGTAGCATCACAATAATAACAAATGATGAGCCCAATAATTCAACTTGAGTCGGTTATACAATGACACGCCCTTTCTACATAGATTTGAAATACATTGCGTTAATCATTAATTCCTGGAAGCATTTTTCTCACTAAAGGAACGGACCACATCTAATAAGGTCAGAAAGCATTGACTTAGGAGGGTGAGAGGGACTGTGCTGTTGATCGCCATGACAAGCTTTCTAAGAAGGTCAGCCAACTATGATAGATAAAATACGTCCAAGTCATTTTAGACTTTGTTTCGAACAAATGATAAAATCACAGAGTGTGATCCTGGCACACCCATGAATCTCAGTTAATGGAACATTCCAATTGGCGGAATTTAGTGTCTGCTTGTTATAGGGTAACCATAGTCATTGAGGCGTGTAGCAAAAATATGGCGGACACTGCACTTCAGGTTTTTCAAGTTGCCAGTCAGATCTATGATATTGTTCAAGAAGTGAATGCAAACAAGGAGCGGTGTCGACGATTCGCGACTCGTGTAAGATGTCTAGTCGAGCCCCTCCAGGGTGTGAGGAAGCTAAACAACGCTGATAAAGTGAATTATGAACGGGCCCTGACCCAGCTTGAGATATGCTTGAGAGAGTCGAAGATGTTCCTTGTCAAATTTAGGGATGTGGGAACTATCAAGAAAATTTTGAAACGAGAAGATTATAAGAGCGAATTTACTAATTTCAATGAGCGACTGGATGGGCTTGCCTCGGCGCTGTCTTTAGGATTGGAAGCAGCTACGAAAGCCAGAATTGATGAGGTGTTTGAACAACAACGAATACTCCAAGAAGACCGAAAGGACGAAGAATTGGATCGACAACAAATAATTGTTTTATTAGATGACATAAGCGAAGGTAATGTTTTCTTTTTGTTTGGGGGGGGGGTATTTATGGTATTGTATTATTGTAACATCTGGAATATAGTTGAATTCATTTTAAGTAAGTATTCAACGGACAATGCGTCTGACTACGGATCAGAAGAATTCAGGTTCGAATCCTGGTATGCTCGATATTATGGTTCATTTCGTTGTTTTCCAAATATATATGTCTATTGTCATAACAACATCAACTTCCATCACGACAGGGCAACTGTACCTGCAATAGAAGTGTGTGGAGGTCAGATGATTGGAATTTCAAAATTTATTACAGGTCTCACGCGTGTCATTGGTGAACACACACGACCTTGAGATTATTCGTAGACGCGATCAGTTTTGGGGCTATGAACCTGCGTAATAAGTGGCTAATTTACATATTAGTATTATGCATTTCGTCATGCACGACGTGGAACCATTTTGACCATACAAAAAAGTGAACAGAGAAAAGAAATCAATTCGCATATTAAAAGCTACGAACAATGAAACCATATTTTGTTGCCAATAATGACACAGATCAGTATCCAAAACCATATAGTGGCTGTCCCAACAAAAATATCAAAGTAAAAGCCGCACAGTGAGTGGATTTTAAAAACAAGTCAGTTTTGATGTTGTATAATACAGCTGTCAATAGACTAATTTCAATACACACCAAACAGCCCAATCAATAACCATGACTTTCGTAATAGCGTCCTCTGTAGCAAAGATCGAAACAAAAAACAAAAACTGATCTCAACTACAGAGGGCCACAATTACAGTAGAAGATCAGGTTTGTAAGAAAAAAATGTTGATATATAAATTGTTATATATGAGGGCGTGTTTTGAGGTACCGTGGTTCTGTACCAAAATATTTCAATATGAAGTTTGACTGAAGTTCAAGCAACCTGACGGCTCATATAGGTTTCAAACTATCATTAGAATCAACGTGATCAGCTCTATTGGGAATACAACATTTTTGCAAGTAATTTTAGCAAAACTTTTTTGAATTTTATATATTCAATAATATACATAATATTGTTTCACCTGTCGAACTGTACGTATATTACTGTATTTAATATTTACCAACAACGACTAATTGTGACGGTTTTTATATCAAGTAAATCACTGAAATTAAATTCCGTACGATTCCTCCTCAAACTATAATATCGTGTATGTATTCAAATTAGTCTATTGACAGCTGCCTGGTGTATTATGCAGCATCAAAATATTGACTTGTTTTTAAAACCCACTTACTGTGCGGTGGGACAGCTAATCTATTATTTTGAGTTAGTGATCTGTGTCATTATAGGCAAACAAATGTGGTTTCATTGTTACTAGGTTTGGGTATGCGAAATGATTCTTTTTCTCTGTTCACTTTTGTATGGTCAAAATGGTTCCACGTCGTGCCTGACGAAATACCCCGTGAAATACCGACAATTACGGCACGCTGTAACTTATGGCGTTACGGTGACAGATGTATAATAATGCTTTATATGTAAACCATGCCTTGTACGGAAGTTGCATCACCCAAAAACTGTTCAGTAGCAATCTGCCTTAAATAAATATAGATACCCAATGACAAAAAAAAACAGTAATATGTTCATTTGTTGGGCTTTTGGTTGAATCCTAACTGTTTAATGTCATGTGTGTTTTGACACTAAATTTGTGGAGTTTTTATTGATAAAAATTGCTATACAATAGTTGCACTTTTAATTTCACTGAAGAAAATCACTGAAAATAAAATCCCGTGAAGATATTTATACCATGTAATTCCCTATTTTGGGCGGTGAGCAGACAAAAACATACTCAAATGATACGCAAATTCCAGGTCATTTATGTAATTTGCAAGTCTGAGAAAAAAAAAGACAGACAAACAATAAATATACACTACAGTTTAAACAACAAACACAATAATATCATAAATAAACATCAGGAAATCAGTGTTGAATTTTATATGAAATGAATGAGTGTACTAGCAAAAATATATCATTCTCAGTCAAAATCAAATAGTTTTCCACGGACACGTGGTATTCATGCAATCAGGGATCATTTTAATCATATTAACCCATTTAATATAATTGTGTTATAAATACAGGTCAGCAAAAGATAGGGGATGAATTGGATTCTGGATTTCAAAGTTTGGGAGATAAACTAGATGATTATCAGAAGAGTGTGAAAACGGGTACGTCTTATTATTTATTACCGGTTTCGTCATTTTATTTTATTCATTGATTAGTGTTCGGAATAATTAACTTTTCATGAAATTCCTTTGGTAAAAGTTTCGATTGCTTTGATATTATACACATAGGTACTACAGGTGGACCTCTCTCAGATTTGTTCAATAATTGTTTTATTTGAAGTGTACATTGCTTCAGTGGAGCGATCTCAGTTTAGAGGCTGCTTGTAGTCAGTACTAACCTTAGGTATACTTCATACACCTAAAATAAATAATCAACGGTATGTTTCAATAATTCATTCTGTTATAAATAAAGATCAGCAAGAGATTAAAGATGATATGAAGGTTATAAATAAGAAACTGGATGATATTCAGCTGAGAACGAAAACAGGTATGTCTTATTATATGTTACCTGCTATTACGAGTTTTTTTTGTATTATTGGTATTACTTTATACAAGACATTCATACAACTATCCACCAAATAAGAAGTTGGAACACATCTCACCTGTAAATTTCAAATTATTCTTATTGAGTAAAAGTGCCTTCAAATACATGACCATGAATTAATAAAAATGATGGTACCTGAACTTGTCTTCATGGAAACAATGAGTCTGGGATGTATCTGTCAGATTTTGTCCGAATCTGGAATTCATATTCGAAGCTTGTTTTGGTGTCTCAAGTTGTTTTTACGAATAGGAAGTAGTTAGCAAACGTTTTGTCACATGTATGTTCGCTACACCCATTCTTAATGGTAAGTAATGCATGCAACATTGAAATGCCATTATTTGTGTTCAGCATATTCAATGTTCATGATCTGTTGAAGAATTGTGATTCCCAGAAATAATAACCTACCACCAGCTTCTTGATGGAAGATATTGGTCAGTATCTAATCACTAGATAGCTATACTGGGATAGACAATACAAGCTTACAATGTAATTAACATATATGCATGTCATTTATTAACAATTGCTTCAGAGAACGATAGAGCGATCAGTCAACCAAGTGATGAGCTGAAGATCATAGAAAGTGGAGAGCTAGAAAATAGAGAACTGATAGGAGAAGGTCGATTCGGTAAAGTCTACAAAGCTGTTTATAACAAGCACGATGTTGCTGTTAAAAAATTCATAGAAAAGTAAGTGAAGATATTTACATGGAAATTCATATACTTCTCTTTCACATGTATGTCTCTCCAGGGTGGCCTGTTCCAGCATGGTTGGTAAATTGCAAATTGCGATCTCAATTGAATGATTACGGTACGATTTCACTGCAATACACTATATGAAGTTACAAACACATATCATATTGATATGGGCACAAAATACATTTGAATACATTTCATTTTGTATGTGTCCTTCAATAGCAAAGTTTCGTAATAGTATAGCAACAACCAAAATCCCTATGCTCCCATTAAAGGATTGGCAAATATACTAAATCATCTTTATATCATCTCTATCATCAAATTTGCCAAATCTCTCAAATAACGATGACTCATATTGAAAAAAAAACATGTATTTGAACTTTTTAAATTCACTGGCGATTGTATTCTTATGTATGTAACTGAGCCCTCATTGCTAATGGTTACATTTTGACTACTAAGTTTAAAAACTAGCGACTTTCTCACTTCATATAAAATAGTGCCCTTATATTTACTGCTTTGTTCTAATGCTCTATAGTAGTAATTAAGGGTTCTGATTGGCTTTCCTGTAATGCATTTGATGATTAAATGTTTCAAATTATGAAGGTGGTATTCTATAACAGTCACTGTAAGAACCCCTAATCTTTAGTATAATGGTATTCAACTGACCCAGAGACCACATTTTCTACCTCAAAACCTGGGGTCAAATGCCTGGATGATTGAAAAACACACCATCTGACTGCCACCTATAGGACGCAATCTACGGTAGGGTAGAAGTCCCGCCCGCTGCACAGTAGAGTTATACAATACACTGCAGTACTTGCAGTAGTTAAAATAACAAGCTCACTGAAACCAATCTGCTTTGATGCCAGCCATTCAATAAATCAGTTGAAACGTATATCACCATGTGGCGGTGAGTTTTTTCACGTTCTTTGTCTAGAATAACCCATTCCTCCCTCTTGAACCCCGTGCAGTAACCCAATTCATGCTCGTGTATGTCACGTGGTTTCCCGATAGAACGTTTACTGTCCAATAGAAAGCTTTGTTACAAATGACTGCCAAAATGTACTTGTAATTTTGCATTTCTGATGTCTGATAACAGCTTGTGACAAACTATTACCACGCTCGGTGGTCGCAAGGCCGGTAAATCATAATAACATAATGATTTACCACTTCCGGTGCGACTAACATCGAACACATAAGACTCGGAACTACGTATGGCTTCAATAGCTTTGTTTTGAATATCTGTGGGTTGTATGATGTCTCGATATCTTCGCTGTATTGCCTCGAAATCCAAACCAATTTGCAACACAGCGTCCATTGTGCCTAGCTATATTTGTTTTGATAGCTTGCCCCCCCCCCACTCCCTATATTTAGGGGGGCCTATGCTTGTTCCTACATTTTTTGACCCCCCCCCCCTATCTAGGGAAAAGAAGAAAATTTACCCCCCCCCCTTCACGGGCTTTTCCGATGAATTTCACCCCCTATCTAGGGAACTTTTCAGTCTAAGAACTCCTTTTAAACCCCCCTTTTTAGCTCCGCTGTCGACTTTGTCGAGCGGAGCTTATCATATGAGTGATTGTCCGTCGTC